GAATATGCATACTACGTGGGGTCGATGAAATCTACACAGAGCCTTCCGCCAGGCCCGGTCAGGCTTTGTCCCACGTGAGCTGACTGCAGGAAAGATGGGGTGCCTTCTGGATTGAGGGATGGCAGAGTATGGGGCTGCACTTTTGAAAGGCTTCGTCTTTTTGGTCTCCATCAGTCTTGCCCAATGATGTAGTTAGGACAACTCGGGCGTGACTGTTGGAGTGCCTGCGTGAAGAGGAGCAGGGAGCTCTTTTGCAGGGAGGGCAGAGAGGCCATCTTTTGAAGGAGTATTGGAAGAAAAAAAATCACTGTTTATGCCTTGGGGTGTTGCAGTTCCATTATTTATCACGCAGGCTAACCAGGGTGAAGCGGCTTCCACTCCCTCCGGCTTTGAAAGCACATCAAAGGCAGTGGGCCAGGGAGCAGACCGGTTACCTTAATGACCCCTCGCCAGCTGGCCACAGGCACCCCAAAGGTTGTAGGGATGATCTGAGATGGTGGCATACATGTACTTTCATCCTGATCCGAAAATATCACTTCCAGTCCTCTAACGCTGGGATTTTTTGGTACTTTCTAATTAAGAATATTGGCAGAAACCCCTTTTAATATTTTATAAGAAAATAGCTGCATACTGGCTTCTCAGGGAACCCACGATTATTCAGCCTTTGCAAGACACTACCAACCCTGGCTAGCACCCTCCTCAGACTCGGACACCTCTCTCTCCCCATTGGTTGCCAGCTGGGTCGAGGGTCCGAGGTGAGTCCCTGGGAACTCCAGGCTGGTCTGCAAGAAGGCCAAGCCTTTGAGGAGAGCGGAGCAGAAGGGACCCAGTTCCCCTCACCAGAAGGCCCATTTGGTTCTTAGCTCTTTGAATGCAATGAAAAGTCATTTGCTTTTTTAAAACACATACCCCCTTGGCATGCTTTCCCTGTGTGGTTCTGTTGCTGTTGTTGAATGCTGTCAAGGTGATTCCAACTCGCGGTGACACTGTGTGACAGAGTGGAGCTGCTCTGCAGAGGTCCCTGGCCTATAAGCCTTATGGGAGCAGGTCACCAGGCCCTTTCTCCCAGAGAATGATGGGAGCCGGTGAGCAGCCAAGTGAGTAACTATTGGCCCATAGAGGTCCCTGCCATCTCACTGCTACCCAGTCAATGTGGACTCATAGTGACCCCCGTGGGCTTCTGAGACTGTAGCGGCTTACAAGTGTTCACCCGTGGTGACTGAACTGCCGACCACGTGGCTCGCAGCCCAACGCGTAACCAGGACACACCAGGGCTCCATGCCACTAGGGGCGATGTATGTTAATTAGAAGTGACTGATGAAAATGTAGCAGCATCTGAAATAACTCGCCACAGAGTTCAGTCGTACGTGGAATCCAGATGGAACAAGTGATGGTGTGTTGTCGTTAAGTGATGGTGTGTTGTCATTAGGTGCCACCAGGTTGGTCAGAGACGGGAAAATTCATTTTGCCCAAAGCGGCTTTACCAAGTTGGCAAGGGAGAGAGGTGCTAATCTCATCACTGTTTTGAGTAAAATTAAAGGGAGTTTATACAGAGGGAAACTATAGATGGTGCTCTACTTTCTATGTAGGTGTGTGATACCGAGCCTGAGACTCACTAGACTCAGTATTCCTGCCGTGCGTTAGAATAGAATCGTTGCCACTCGATGCTCTATGGGACTTCACTCCCCCAGGCCCCATCTCTTTGCCCCCAGAGATGAAGGAACGGAAGCTTGCAGGGGCGAGGTGGTTTCAAGGTTGCACGCGGAACTCACTAGTAGGAGTAGAGACTTGAATCTAAGGCTCCTGAGTCCCAGCCCGGATGCATGGGGACATGAAAGGACGTGTAAAAGTCTGAGATGGAACTCAAGCTTTCAGAGGTCATTTAAACCATTTTACTTGTAAAAATCCGTGTGTGGAATTTTGGGGACATTCTACTCTCTACTGACAATTAAGTGCAGACTAGAGTTTTGTTTGTCTGTTTCTTCCCCTAGGAACAAGTCTTTGGTCTCTTATTGTATTTTGCCTGTTGATACTCCAGAGATCAATCACCCATCCCCCACCACCAACTGCCCCATTGTCCTATTACTAGCATTTGTTGAAAGAGCCTTGTTATCTATAAACATTGTCTTGGTTTTGGTGCCCATGAAAACATGCAGGTCGATTAGAACATTTGCTCTTCCTGGGGCCCGACTACAGCAATGTGCTCTTTTGGAGAACGGTCCATTTCTTCATGAAAGAAATCTCCACCTTGACCTTTCTTTGGGAGAGCTCGGAGTGATGGGCTTGTTATCATAATCTGGAGCAAGACGTAGGAAGATGAGACTTTATTCTTTCTACAAAAACAGAATCTGTTTACAACAGAATTGGGAAAATAACAGGAGCTACGAAATTGTGTCAGGTCAAGTGTCCTTTTAATTTAAAACATCATTATTATTTTCTTTCTTTCTGCATGTACATTCGGTAAAGGATTCAGGCAATGTGCCCTTAACATCACTTGGTAGAGGTAGAATCCTAGCCCTTAACATAGCATTCAAGCGATCTTTGTTTCCTTCAAATATAACCTTCTCAAAGCTTTTTGTTTATCTGTTCGCTTTTTCCGCTAGTGATCCTGGTCCCTGAATTTATTTATATATTGATATACAGGCATGCCCATAGAGATCTCTGTATAAAAGTGGAACATGTTCCTTTCAGCCCTGTCCTTCCAGGTCCCAAATCTGTGTCTCTGTTTCCTACAGAGATCTGCATGCATCTCTAAGAATACCTAAGCAAATTTCCAGCAAATAGATGGCTACTTGGTGCACAGGGGTAAACCAGGGTAAGCAAAGAGATGCGGCTGTCTGTGGATCTGTGGAGGCCCTGGAGCACTGAGACGGTCTGGCATCTGACGACATGCCAGTTCCGTTTTCCTCCCGGATCTTCAACTCAGCAGCTGCCTCACTCTGACCCCAGCTCTATCCAAAAGGGAGCATCCTTGGGGGCCATGGCGGCACTGCAGAAGCGGCTATGGCAGCGTTCTCAACCTGTGGGTTGCAACCCCTTTGGGGGTCGAACGGCCCTTTCACAGGGGTCGCCTAAGACCATCGGAAAACACATATTTCTGATGATTTTAGGAACCGAGACACTGTTCCTCTGTTTCCAGGCTGGTCCGCCCACATGCAGATACGCCCACATACGAGTACCCAGCGTGAAGACTGTTACCCAGGCTACACCATGCTTCAAGACAAATTTTCATTTATTTGTCATTAGAAATAAATATTTCACAATATATAATTTCATACTGTTTTTGTGATTCATCACTAGGCTTTCATTATGTTCAATTTGTAACAATGAAAATACATCCTGCATATCAGATATTTACATGATGATTCATTACAGTAGCAAAATTATAGTTATGAAGTAGCAACGAAAACAATTTTATGGTTGGTGGGGCACCACAACATGAGGAACCGTAGGACAGGGTAACGGCATTAGAAAGGTCGAGAACCACTGAGCTGTGGTCTTGGAGTAGGACTTGAGTCACTGCATGTCCTGTGTTTTGAGTTCGCGCAGCATTATCAGCTGCGACTTCTAATTCCAGAAGGACAATCAGACATGCATGTGTTGGCATAAAGAAGTAAAACTTAAAGCAGCTTTATTTGGAAGGGTTAACACAGATGATCTCACAGCAATTCCAAATTCCAGGATTTAATTTATACTTATTTTAAAGCATTTGTTCACTCATTTAGTCCAGAAAGGGAATTGAGAGCTTAATCCGCAGAAGTCTCTGTGTTTTAAAAAGCAATTCAGCCATTTATGAAATCTCATGTAAGATATTTACAAAGCTAGTTGCTTTTGACTCACCTCTGACTCATGGGGGATCCCGTGTTTCAAGTCAAGTGAACAATGGTATGACCTTTTGGAAGTGGATCACCAGGGCCTTTCTTCTGCGGTGCCTCTGAGTGGGTTCCAGCCACAAGTAGATAACACAATAATGTCATATATATATAGTTATTGTTAATAATAATGTTAAAAAGAAAGCAGACTTAGAATTAAGGATAGCAACGACATAAAGATGTTTGAAAATTATGTCTAGAACAAGGGCAAGGGAAACGTAGTTTGTCATCGGTTTGCAGGAGGAGACACCGACCCCCTCCCGCACACTGCACAGGGACCCTCGCAGCTACTAATAAGGTTGGCAGTTCAAACCCACCCACCCTCTTGGTGGGAGAAAGAACTGACGGTCTGCCTCTGCGAAGATGACAGCTGAGACCAGGCTGTGAAGTCGCTCAACTGCCGCAGGAGGTCGCTGCGAGTCAGACAGAACCAACCCCATGGCAGTGTTACTTTAAGAATGAGAAACAGTAAGATATGACAAAATAATAATTTATAAATTATCAAGGGTTCATGAGGGAGGGGAAAAAATGAGGAGCTGATGCCAAGGGATTAAGTGGAGAGCAAATGTTTTGAGAATGATGAGGGCAATGAATGTACAAATGTGCTTTACACAATTGATGTATGTATGGATTGTGATAAGAGTTGTATGAGTCCCCAATAAAATGATTAAAAACAAAAGAAAGAGAAACAAAATCAGAAGTGATACAAAGACACCCAGCGCGATACTTCTGCATAACTCAAGTCACTAAGCCATCCCTAGGCCTTTGTCACCGGGAGTCCTGCTTGTGCCATGGTCAAGTGCTCTGTTGCTAACCCTTAAGTTGGGGGTTCGTACCCACCAGCTACTCCTCAGGGGAGAGATGTATGGCTTCGGAAACCCTAGAGAGCGGAGTCGAAGGCCAGTGGATGGCAGTGGGCTTGTTTGATTTTGGTTTTTACAGTCTTTTCCACTTCCAAACCTAGAGTAGTGTTCTGGTAGACATTTACCAGGGTTACTTGGATGAATTAATTCAAGTGAAAGATTTATAGATCCATTATCGTCGTATTGGCCAATCCGATGTTCCAGAGGCCAGTCTGGCATGTGCCTGGTAGCAGGCAAACTGTAACTGCTCATTCTGTTCTCTGTATTATTTATAGGCATATTTTGTACCATTTCCCTCTGCACGTACGCTGCCAGCATCTCCTATGACTTGAGCCGGCTCCCGAAGCTAATTTACAGCCTGCCCGCTGATGTGGAACACGGCTACAGCTGGTCTATCTTTTGCGCCTGGTGCAGTTTAGGCTTCACGGTGGCAGCTGGAGGTCTCTGCATCGCCTATCCATTTATTAGCCGGACCAAGCTTGCACATCTAAAGAGCGGCCGGGACTCCACGGTATGACTGTGTGCCAGCACCTTCCCTGCGCGGAGGCCCAGTCCTGGAGCAGCGGACTGTTGAAGGGTGGGAAGCAGAGCCCACGTCAGGATCCCAAGCACAACTCGATCAAACATTCCAGCCTGTTGCCTGCCAACCCTTCCTGGATGACTGATAGCCAATCATGCAAAACCTCTCGACCTTTCTGAGGACAAGACTACTGTGGATTCAAGTGCTTTAATGACTTCCTGCTTGGACGGTGTGCAGCGGTGAGCAGGGCCATGGGCCCGCTCTAGGTTCAGAACAGAGGAAATGGCAGTGGGAACCCTCTGCGTGGTCTCCCCGGAATTCCAAAAGTTTGTATATAACCATCACCTGAGAGTCATTCCTATTTGCAAACTGGCTCCTCACAAAGCGCGTATCATTGTCCTGTCTGCTTGCTCGCGTTGAACCCAGCATCGCCAGTGCTGGTCCTGATGGTGCCTGGTTGCGTCTGCACCAAAGACTTGTGCGGTTTTTTGCAACTGTTTCTCATCACAGGAAGATTCTTCTCTGTTGACTTATTGTTTTTTGGGTTTTATTTTCTTTTCCTTTCCACCCCCCATTGAAGTCTCTTCTCTGTCTTTGGACTGGACTAGATGTCACGAGATGAAACAGTTCAACTGTGTATAAAAAAGCTACTCCGCGACACTATGCAGTATTGTTTGAAGTTCTGTCTGCCGTCTGAAGTTATCCGTCTCTTTATGTTAACTGGATTTCTGCATTAAATAACTGCCCCTTGTTAAGTCCTTGTGTGCTTTCCTGAACCTTCCCACGGTCTCCACAGGTCTCCCTAGTGGTACTAATAGATCAGAAACTTGCCGTTTCCCTGTTCAGAGTCTTAATCAGATTTACTAATTGCTTGATTGCAATGAGGTCAGTCGGTCAGTAGCATTTATCTTTTGTAGCCAACCACGCACTTGCTACTGATCAGAGATGTCATGTTCACCCTTCTTTTTAAAC